CAAGAACTTATTGATAGTATACTATGGGCTTCCTAGATCGTGGCTGGCATTCACCATCTGACCCTTTTAGGTTCAATTTCCCCAAACCTACTTCAACCTGCCAGCCTTGGCATGTGTGGGTAGCACCCACGTCTTAGTGCCTGATCCTACGGTCAAGCATACGGGAGCTCAAGTTAATGGAAAAAAACTTCGACTTGGTATAAGCTCAAGCAAGGTCTACACTTAAAGGGCATCTGCACTTTCAGGCCAACACAGAGGGGAAGGAGACAAGATTAAATATTCCAAAAATATTTCTGAGAAAAACAGGAATGGTTTGGCACGACAGCTTTATTTGGTGAGTGTTCCAGGCTGATAGAGCAAAGATGGCAAACAGATTTCAACTTATGACCCAACTCCAACTGACTGGTTGGGGCTGCTTATAGGGCTGTGTTGGAAAGGACTCTGAGGTCAGGTCTGGGCCCAGAGAGAAGAAGTGCAGTGATTAATAGTGTGAGTGGAGGACGGAGGAGCAGCACACACGCTTCGCTGACAATGACCTCCAGGTGCGAGGGTAGGGAGAGGAGGGAGCGGTGCGCAGAGTTTAGAGTTGGCCAACTAGAAGTAATCACTTCCTGGTGAAGGCACGCTACTAATGACCTAGGCAGCTGTATGGGACTGGGTTTCTGTCCCAGTTCTGCTACTGGGACTGGATATCCTACTGTATATCTGATGGCTAAGGGGGGAGGGAAAGAGTTAGTATTTATTAAGTGATAGCTATGTGCCAGTAAGCACTTTATATACATCACATTATTTCGTTAACTCCTCCAAGCCTCAGTTTTCTCAGCCATGAAATGGGGATATGCTGTGTGGCTTATGCATCAATATGCTGTGTGGATTAAATTACGTAACAGGTGGAAGTTCACTGTATACCATAAATTGTTACAGAACTACAAAGTGTTAGTGCAATGATGATCTGCATTCAAGGCATAATCTAGGAGTTAACCACAGGACTCAGCCTCAGACAGTCTTGGTTTCTGATTTCAGCTTCATTATTTACTAGATTTTTGCTATACCCTGGTTTCCTCATATAAAAATTAGAGATAATATCAGTACTACCTAATAAAGTACTATAATTACAGGAGACAACACATGTAAAGGAGTGATCTGCAGTACTTGGCACACAGTAAGCATTTGATACATGATAACTGCTTTTAAAGATTAGAATTCATCCTATAACAGAATTTAAAAAGATCAGATCTTTGCCACAGGTTTCATTAATAGACTCCAATAAAGTTTTTCAATCATATAAAAGTCTGGTGGAAAACTGACTTAATTTGGGGTCTTGCAGATCAAAGTTTGAGTCTTTCATCCCCTGACTTTCTTGGGAACAAATGGCAGGTGGTAAAACTGGAACACGGGCCACTACCTCCCAATCAGGAGACAAGCCGCTGTGATTGTACCATGGAGCTCGGGAAGGCGGAGCCTCTGCTGTGCGCTCTTACGAGCCACGACCTCGGAGTGGACGGGTAGTTTTCTGTGGACTCAGCGGGGCTGCTGGGTAAATGCCGCACACAGACGCTCACCACTTAGAAGAACTTGCCACAGGGGGCAAGTGAAATCTCTGCCCTGACTGACACAGGATGGACGAGTGGAGGAGACCATCCATCAGTGTCAGGAAAGATCTGAAGCACCTGGCTAGGCAGCTGAAATAAAATAAATTATTTACTGATCTCAGAATCCAGCTGCTCACCTGAATGTTCATAAAGGGTGTGCTGTTTGCTGCCCCGAACTTTGCAGTCGATTCTGTTTCAGAAAGAAAGAATTTCTGGACTACTGTGAGCAGGCTGTTAGAGTGAAAGGGTGTTATCATCTGCTTTCTTAGGAGGAAGTGAGGGTCTTAATAAAAACCTGAACTCACCTAAACGGGGATAGGAAATGAGCTTGTTTATTCACTGCATGATATAGTACTCATAGGCACAGTTTATCTGTTGGTCACAAATTCCTTGAAGTTTCTGCATATAATGCTGAAGACTGAATTTAGATTCATGGTAGAAACAAATGTTTGGATAGCTCTTTTAGAAGTTCCTCAGAGCTGTGACTCTCCACCAGAGGGTGCTATGTGTGCCACTGGAAGCATCCAGGGGTGACGGGGACCGGCTTCTAGTTACCTCACTTCTGAGCACCACTGCTCTAGAGAGAGATACGTGCATTGCTGTCATCATCCATTTCTACCTGACAAGTCTCCATCGTGGCTACAGGAGGAGCTTCCCCAAAAGAAACACTACCTAATGTGACCTGGTTAAATAATTCCAAGATGGTGGACCAGAAGAGAAAGCAACAGACAAAATAAACAATAATGCAATGATGACAACACTAAGACAAGCTACTGCTCAGAACACAGCTACTGGGCCACCTCCATCCAGTCCTGAAAGGCAAACGCTGTAATTCCCGCTGCATAAGTACAGACACTAAGACTGAATGGGGAAGGGATTTGTCTAAGGTGACACTGTAGGTAGGTGGTAAAGCTGGGATTCAAGCCCATTCTCGGCTGCAGAGCTTGGGCTCTTCCCACAGATCCTTTTGTGGACTTTTTCCTTTGAAAGAATATACAGATCAGAATCTGATAAATTCAAGTGTGGCTTTTTGCCTTTGGAAAAAATCTGGGGAGAGAAGCCCACAGTCTTGGTTATCTTTCCAAGGCATTGCTTTTCACCTTGGGGAACAGGAGGGATGGGTTTGCTGATTACATCGCCTGGGAAAATCCCCGCCTTGTACCCTGGACCTCTACCTTGACTTCAGTCAGGCTACTTACTGGGCTTCTTAAAACTAGACCCACTCAGAGAAAGCAGACCCTTTGTTACTGGGAAAGAACTATGGGCAAGCAGACTGGACATCTGAGGAGCATTCTTATTTTACAAACTTTTAATTGAAAATATACAAACAGGAAGTAAACAAATCCTAAGATATATATAACTTGACTTTTCTACAAAGCCCACATACTCATGTACTCAGCATGCAGATCAAGAAACAGAACTTCACCAGCATCCCCGATGATCCCCTCTCCAGTCACTCTCCAGGACAACCACCGTCCACTTCTACATGTTAGATTATTTTTGTGTATTTTTGAACATTATGTAGATGAAATCATACAGTATATACTCTGTCCTCCTTTTCTGGCATCTGGCTTGCTTTTGAGCTGCTTTATTATTTTTATTTCTATGAGAGATACCAGAAAAAGCACCTTTAGGAAGAACACCACCGAATAACTTTGTTTTAAGTATCAACATTAAATAAGAAATTTTTTTTTACCACTTTATATATTTAGCTTTTTGTGAGGGGAGAGAAATAGGTCTACAGAGGGGAAAAAAAGGTGGGTTCTGTGCATCAAAGATGCTGGGTGCTGATTCATCTATTTAGTTTGTTAGAATCACTGTCATCTCAGCAGCTGATGTTTACTGAGCACTTGCTATGTGCCAGATGCCTAAGTATTCTGCATGGGATATGACATTTCATCCCCATAATTACTCAACCCATGAGACAGAGACTATCATTTTCACCTTATAAATGAGAAAACTGAGGTGCTGTATCATTTGCATGTGGTGATACAGCTAAGCAACAAGCCAGGGTTTGAACACGGGCTGCTAACTCCTGAGCCTGTCCTCCAGTGTTCCCCTGTGTTGCCGGGTCTCACCTACACAAGTTTACCAGCTGCCAGGCCCCGTGCTAAATGCTTCACATGGAGTATTTGGCTTGTTCCCCTCAGCAATCCTAAGAAGCTAACACACTGATATTCCCATTTAAACAGAATGGAACTGACGCTCAGAAAGATTAAGACACTTGCCTAACATGGCTGGTTACTGATAAAGCCACAATTTAAACCAGAGGTGAGTTTGATGCTCATCTTTTAATTAGTAAGTTACTGTCAGCATATTTCAAACTCCTGTAGGGAAAAGAGTATTTAAGAGGTTTTTGAGACTTTCTACAAATTAGCCAGACTAATGCCAACATTAGAAAAGGTTTTATTACAAGACACACACAAAACGTGTGTGAGAAATGTAACATTAGTGAGCCTTAGAGTTCAAACTTTTTCCCTCTACACACAAAGCAAAGGGGGCCCACAAAGGGGCAGTGTGGCAGAGGTCAGCGGCGGAGCCAGGGAACAGTTCAGCTCCCTGCCTGAGTGAGCCTGGCATCTGCACCTGCTCCCTCGTCCTCCCAGCATCCTTTGTTAGGGAGCAGGTGCACGCAAGTTGGCCAGAGCATGGTTCTGCTCCTGGTACCGCAACCTACCTGCCGTGTGAGCTTGGGCATGAGACTTCATTTCTCTGCACCTCATTTACCTTCTCTGTCAGATGGAGACAGTAAAAAAATAGCTGCCTTATAGGTAGGTAAGTAGTCCATGTAAAGCACTTAGTTCAGTGCCTAATACACAGCGGATACCTACAGGTAACAGCCATGAGTATGGTGACGATGACGGCATATTAATATTATGTTGACTACCATGACTTTTCCTGCTCCTGTTAGGGTTAAGTCAAAAGAGAAATTGAGCACTTCACTGAAACAAATTAACTCCAAATATTAATTGAAATTTAGTTCTAGATAATCTGGTGAGGATCCAAATATAACTTCTGAGAGCATTAAAAAGCTTCCCTAATAAAGACGTGAATGAATAAGCAATGAATTCACTGAGTGAGAAAAGGCAAGTGGCAATGTTACAAAGCAGTTCTAAGGATGGAAGAGAATTACAGAATGAAAAGAATTATGGAACTTCACAGGAGTCAATCAGTTTGAAAAGAGTCTCAAGTTAGATCTATTTCTAATCTTCTGCTTCATAAAAAGGAAGATAAGAAAGAGCACTCAGGTGGGAAAAAGGAGATACTTCGAATTTCATTGTTTCAACATTTTCTCTGAAAACAAATTACCATTAGTCATTCAGGTTCCATAAAAGGTGTATGTTGTTTCTTTTCTGTATTTCTACACTGACCACTGACACCAAGCTCAACCACTGTTCACGTACTTACCTAACTGGACATCGGTTGTGAATCGCAGTCTGTGGATCATGCTGACTTTGAATGACTTGTAATGGTGGCTGCTAAGCATATCCTGTACTGTAGCTATGTCAATTTGCGAATCCTCCTCAAAAACCCCGTCTGCCCTTGAACCTGGGGAGGAAAAAGCAGTTTAACACATAAAGATACATGAGGCTTGGCAAATGGTGTCTGCTTAAAATGCTTTGGGATAAATTAAAATAATATGGGCTATTTAATTTGGAAAAGAAAAGGCTGAGCGATGACTTAATAATGCCATTCCAGTAAACAGAGAATGGTAACATATTAATCATTCAACAATTAATTCCACAAACACTGCCTAGTCTATGGCAGGCCCTTGGCTGGGCAGCAGCAACACAGAGGGCAGAAAATCTCCTTGCCAGAAGCTCAGTCTCCACTAAGAATAAGTCAAAATCACAAAAGCATGGGTGGTCACACTTCTTGCTTTTTATTCTAATAATTTTCCTGATCATAAAATTAACCCATGCTCCTTGAAGAATCCCTGTTCATTCCAAGATCCTCAGACTGCCTGTTAATCAGCTTCCTGTTCTGTGTCCCAGTCTCCACTGGTGCAGGTACGAACCTGCTCACATGTGGATGGCTGTCACAGTCTCCTCCATGGCCTTATGGCCACCAGGCTCCCTCTGCAATTGAGCCACTACAGGACTTCTCAAGTCATCTTTTCTGAAGTTTTGATCATTCATTCACTCATCAAACGTTTGGTGAGAGTTTTGTGCATGCTCAGTACACTGATATGTGACCCTGGGAACAAATAAGAGGACTGGAACTCTAAAACCTTGCCTGGCTTCCCATGGCCTCCTGAATGAAGCACACTTTTTTCAGCCAAGCAGTCAAGGCTGTTAATAATCTTGCTGAAACAAAATTTTCCCATTTCACCAGTCACTTCTCACATACATTCTCTCAGTTCCTTCCAAGCTCCTCTGACAGTATTCAGGCTCAGGCTTTTCTACTTCTGGACCTTTCCTCACATGGTACCCTTTGCTTAGAACACCCCTTCCATCCTCACCCTGCATCTCTCAAAACCCCGTCCAGGCTAGCTCGGATTCCACCTCCTCCTGAATTCCACAACAGTTGATCTATCTAGGGCTCTGGAGCCAGGGAGACCTGGGTTCAGTTCCTGGCCCTGCTTCTAACTTGCTGTGTGATCTTGGGCAAGTGACTGTTTCTCTGAAACCCAGTATCTGCCATCCACAGAATATCAAAATGTTTTTAAAGAATGTAACATATAATATGCTTCACAAATAGCAGTCATGATTATTTTTATTCTGCTGTCACAGTGAATCACATTCAGCCTTGCACTAGAACTGCTGAGTGGCTGCTCTGTCCTAAACTGGAAGCTTTGTGAGGATCAGTGAAGTTTCTTACTCATCTCTACACCTTTTCCTGCAAGTAGTACAGGCAGCTGGCATGCTCTCAGTAAATGTGGCTGAATAAACAAATAAATCAACAAAAATAATGGCTATTACATGTGTATACTTACATATCAGGTATGGTGCTAAGCACTTCACACATGTATTTAAGTCTCAAGACAACCTGGTAGGCAGGTCTATAATCTTCCATATTATACAGATGCAGAACCTAAGGCTTTGGGAGGCAAAGTCACGTGCCTAAGGTCACCCAAGCAAAGCTAAACTAACTCTCGCCACCCCTCACCCTGAGTTTGAAAGTGATCTTCGGCAGGTGTGGCTGTTGGTGCCATTCACCAGCGGGAGGGAGCACCTGTTTAGAAGAGGCCAACCAGAGCAGGATGCCCGAGGCCTTGTGATGAGAACCCAGAGATGGTTCCACAGGGAAAGCTAGAGAGAACGCCTTGGCACAGAGTTGGAGGAATAGAAAACTCTAGATGTGGGTGTAAAACTAGAAAATTCTATTATATGACTGATAGCCTGTGAATTACACGTTTCCTTCCCCCAGTTATGCTTACCGAGCAAGCTTCTAAGCCAAAGTTGGTTTCTGATGCCTTCACATTTAACTCATTTATCAGGAATTGTACTTTCTATTTCCAAACACAACAACTGTTCCCAGCTTGAATCGTTCTAGCGCCTACAATGCTGCCTTCCCACAGTAAGGACGCAGCCTAGCCCTCAGTGGGCCAGTCACTGAACGCCTGTGACCCAGTCCCACATGTTGGTCCCTCTGCCCAGGGCACTCTTCTCCCCCTTCCACTCCCTCCTGCCCTATTCCTTCAGGCCTCCTCCCCATCCCTCTGATGAGCTTAGCGCAAGTGACACTTCAAGGAACCCTAAGACTAGCTCAGCTCCTTCTGTCACCACACCCTGCATTTTCCTCCAGACTATTTATCACAGGTAGTAATTACCTGTATCTGTCATTAGACTGTAACCCCAAGAGCAGAAGGAGAGTGACTGCTCTACTCAACACTACAGCCCAGACCCTGCTAGTGCTACTGCACCTAGGAGAAAACAAGAGCTCAATAACAGCTTCTTGGATGGAAGCTCCCCAGGAAGGGGAGGATCAGAGAAGCTTAGAGACTTAACCAACATCACTTTGCTAAGACTAGTACACTTGCACCCAGTGTCTGTAAGGGCCACTGGTAACCCTGTTTTCTCTCTCTGGAACACATGTGATTTCGGATAGAGATGCTGTGAACATGATCACTACTGTCTCCTAAGTAATGTCCACATCCCAAACCATGAGGTCGCTAGAGATGAAAGTTTCAAATAGTTGTTCATTTTTCTCCAAACATACCTTTCACTAAAACAGAACTGCCAAGATGTGTTTATTTCTATTTTAGAAACTCTTAAATTGAGAATTTTGGAGAAATACTAAAATCCTTTCATGTTTTACATCATTTAAGGTCATCTTTTCTGAGAAAATGCCATTGTTAAATACAGCTTAGCTCAAGAACTTCTGTTTTCTTTACTAATTAGTATTTTCTAAATATTGCAGGTATTTGATTTTGAAAGAGGTAACAGCTCATTATGCTAAAATGCCAATTATTAAAAAAAAACCCACACTTAAGAGTTTTACATTTTATGATGTTGGATTAAAACCAATTTAAAAATTACTATAACGTGACATATATAATTTTTTACTGAGTAATTCCAATGCCAGCTGCTAATAAAGCATCTTCACTGTAAATGATAATTCAGATGCTTTTAGATAAAGTGGTGCATAAATATGGCTGGAAATTGATTTAGCTTCTTATAGAAGCTACTGAAGAATGACATATTTTGTTTAATACACCAGCTAATGTAGTCCTAAAAGCTCAAACAAGTGCCAGTTTTCACTCCTAAATTTGCTGTGAGAGATTAATGAAAACTTTATATTTTGCTGAAATGTTAATAATGGGCAGATGAGATGATAGGATTTTAGTAGAGGTCTTAAAGCTATGGAATAACCAGCAAGGCTTGTCAATTTCCTCATATTAATTTTGCTCAAGACTTATATAGCTGGAGCTGGCTCAACACACTAATGCTTCTTGTATTGACCTTCTACTCTCTGACAGTGTAAATTCATATCCCATTTGAGGATTTAAGTCCCCCTGATACTTGGGTGAGTTCTGAGCCTTGCCCCGGCTGACATGAGGTGTGTCTACTTTTATGACCAGAAGGGCAACAGCACCTGGGGGAAAGAGAAGGAGGGAGCAGTCCTGCGCTCACCTTGGATACATGCAGCCAACCCCAAAGCAGCTTATCTGCTGAATGGGGAACAACCTCTGGTCTTGGAGTTCCAGTGCCATTTCTCAAAGTAGGCTCAGGAGTGCCTGTGCTCAGAGGGGAGCGTGTCTGTGTGTACAGATCAGTCAGCTATCCAACCTGCAAGCTACTCTCCCCATGCCAGCAGTAGGCTAGACTGTGAAGGCGCACTGCTGAGGATAAGGCAGGTTTCCTGATCTCAGGAGCTTACAAATACACTACAGAACACAAAGAAAAAAGTACAAGGCAGGGAGAAGTGCCCAATAAATGATGCATGCAACAGACACTTCATCTAATGACACAATCTGAAGGAGAGCATTATACCAAAAGCATTTTTTTGGACCAGAAAAGTTCTGACTTTGCATGTACACCTTTACTGCTTGTATCCTTCTGGAAAGGGGTGAACCCAATCATATATGAAAGATGCTTTGCACTGCATCATTTGTATATTAAAATTACTACTGTACTATCAACTTCACATTAATAAACCACTTCTGTTAAGAGCAGACATTTTTATCTACTCAAAGTAAAAAATAGAACCAGAATGTCTTAAAAAATAAACATATTAAAAAAAACTCCCACTCCTCAAACTGTTAATTTAATTGAAATATAACCCTGTGATATTTTGTTAAATTAGCAATTAAAAAGGTCACAAGCAATTAAATGAAACAAAAGCCACACTGTGTTCATCTACATTAATGCTGAACTGGGTCTCTTCGTGAATGACAAGATAAATTGTAATGGTGCCTTCAAAGACTTCACAATGTATTTTGTCAAAGTCGGGAGTGTTAATGTCTCTATGTGCCATGGATTACCATAATGTATCGTGTCAAAACGCTCGAGCTGCAATAACTCAAAGATGTATTGTGATAGATCAAGTTTTGGGGAGGGGCCTAAAAGTGACTCGAGCACCAGAGCTCAGATGGACTGACAACAGGCTCTGGAAGGATGACAGAGAGCACATTCCTGACATGGGAAGGTTTGAGGGACAAGCAGGAAATCCAAGAAAGGCAGGAGCTTAGCTGTCTGGAGTAAGGAATCAGGAAAAAGGAAACAAGGAAAGGCACCCGTCTTAATGGCAAAACCAGGCCAGGGTGGGAGGGGGTAGAGGGAAGGGCAGAGGAGGTAAAGGAGGAGGCAGGTGGAGTACATGGCCTGCAGCCACGAAAGAGGAGGTACTGAGAGAGAGCCAAGGGCTGGGATGTGGCCTTGAGGCTTAACAACACTGGAAAGAAGCTGGAAAACTGAGTTCAGAGATTTAGATTCAAATCCTAACTGTGACACCAAGGGTCAATGACTGATCAAAACCTTGCCCAAGATTTCACTGTTGGGAAGAGGCAGAGCTGGGACAGATCCACTGATTCCAGAGCCCATCTCACTACATTCCCACGAGAAGCAGCAAGGACAGGGTTTGGGTGGTAACTAGAAATTCTACGT